TTTGCCTACTCAGTCAGTGTCTATCAGGAAGGTCTTACTTCAGTAATAGTAGTTAATTAGCTTTATACTAAGCCCTGTAAATCAACCTAGAATACTGTAAAAGTAAGACCCAAAAAGATCAAGCTGTTTCCACACTGCATGCTAAAACAAAGCTCAATGAAATTTATAGGAATACAAAAATACCCAGCATCTAATATGATAAAATTCACCATATCTGGCATCCAATCAAAGATTTCCAACATAAAAAGAGACAGGAAAACAGGGCTGGGCTCAATGTCTCAGTCTGTAATCCAAGCAATTTGGGAGGCCAAGGTGAGTGGATTGCCTGAGCCCTCAGGTTTGAGACCAGTCCAGGCAATTTGGCAAGACCTCATCTCTACAATAAATAAAAAATTAACCAGGCATGGTAGCACATACCTGTAGTTCTGGCTACTTGGAAGGCTGAGGTGGAAGGATCGCTGGAGCACAGCAGGTCGACACTGGGTTGGCCATGAGTGTGCCACTGCACTCCAGCCTGGGTGACAGAGTGAGACTCCAACTAAAAAAAAAAAGGGAAAACATGGCTTGTAGTGAGAACAATAATAATGAATTGAAACAGATTCAATGCTTACATAGCTATTAAAATTAGCGAGGACAGTAAAATGTTTATTATAACTGAATTTCATATTGTCAAGATAAGTACAGAAATAAAAGATATTTTAAAAATAACCAAATTGAGGTTCTAGAGAGAAAAACTACATTGTCTGATATGAAAATATACCAGATTAACAAGTCCTGCTCCAGCTGGGTTCAGGGTCTCCCGAAGGAAGACAGAGTAGGCATTGAAGAAAACACTCAGACACCTGAATCTGGTGTTAGCAGGACAGATGCCGTTTATTGTCAGTTAACAGAGCTTTTATATTATTCGTACAAGGAAAAGGACAAAGAAAATTCTTACAACAATATGTAACCAGTAACTTAATCAATAACCTTGATGTAACCAGTAACTTGATCAATAACCTTGACTGAGATAAAAAACAGAACAAGCAGTTCATGCATGGTGTTCTTCAAGGAGCCACTCTGACGTGTATTTTTTCACGGACAGATTTTTTTTAAGAGTGTCACTGTCTTGTGATTTTTAAAGCACATGATAAGTTTTAAAAGAATGTTATACAGTAGAGATGCTAATATCCTCAGTCTACAAAACTTAATCTAATTATGTCTAGGAAAGTTTCATCCATCTAATTTACTCTAACTTAAACTGTAAAAACAAGTTTATAAATCATTCCTACAATGATTACCACAGTTAAAAGATTATTGAATAATATACACTCAAATTAAACTTAAGTCACTCTATAATATTAAATCTGTATAGCAAAAACAACATAATATAGAAATGCTTATTTTTTTATGTTAGAGGCTCAAATAAGTATGGTTAATGAGTTGTAACTATCCTAACATGCAAACCACAATACAAATCATAGTTACTGGGGCAAAATAACATTCTGGGAACTCTAATTAATTGTTCATCAAAAAGTGACTCTACCAAGCAATTATCTATCCACACCTGACGTTCAAGGTTTTGCTCATGACTCTTTGGCGAGATTAAGGACTTTTTTATGAGCGTTAGAAAGAACACTTTCTGTTCTCATTGTGAGTTTTTTCAGCCATAACACTAGATGTGACAGTGAGGCCTAGCACTAGGAGGTCAGGGGCATAGCCAGATAGGGGAATAATAGAAACAACCTTTTCTCATAAAATACTCTTTGGTTTCTATGTATGGGGCAATGAATAACGTGAATTGGAGTTTTATTTTTCGCCTTCAGACTGTACAGAATTTTCTGGCTGCATTAATAACAAAAATAGAAGAAGTAAGGGTTTCAGCTGTCCAGGCTTGCTTTGCAGCCTGGGGTCTTCAGCCCCCTGGACTTTGTCAGCTGGCAGGCCTCCATGGTTGGCTCCCAACAGTCTGATGTGAAAATGTACCAGATTAACAACAGATCAGACTTGCAGAATAAAAATTAGGTGAACTTTAAGGCATAGCAATAAAACTATCCCAAATTAAAGACAGGTTGGGTACCTGTAATCCCGGCACTTTGGGAGGCCAAGGTGGGCAGATTACTTGAGCTCAGGAGTTCAAGAATAGCGTGGGCAATATAGCGAAACCTCACTTCTACAAGAATAACAAAATTAGCCAGTCATGGTGACACATGTCTGTAGTCCTAGGTACTTGGGATGCTGAAGTGGAAGGATTGCCTGAGCCCAGGAGGTGGAGGCTGCTGTTAGCTGTGATTGTCGTGATCATGCCACTATACTCCAGCCTGGGTGACCGAATGAGACTCTAACACGCACACACACAAACACACACACACACACACACACACAGTAATGCAGAGGAAAAACAGAAACAAACAAATGAAAAGAGCTTTAGTGAGTTGTGGATTACTTCAAGTAGCCTACTATATGAAACATTGTGGTCCTTGGAGTAGGGGAGAGACAGGAAAGATATATGAAGATACAATGACTGAAAACTTAAAACTTAATGAAACCATAAATTCACGAATCCAAGAAACTCAAGGAACCCTAAGCACAAGAAACATGAAGAAAAATAATGATCAAATTACTCCAAATCAGTAAGAGAAAAAAATCTCAAAAGCAGCCACAGAAAAAACATGCTATGTACAGTGGAACAGGGGCTATCATATGTCTTATCAGAAATAATTCAAGTAAGAAGAGTGAGGCAATATCTATAAAGTAATCAAAGCAAAAATAACAATCTAGAATTATATACTCATCAAAAACATCTTTCAACCACAAAGGTAAGACAACCAATAGAATGGGAGAAAATATCTACAAATCATGTATCTGATAAGGGTTTTGAAGAGCTCCTATCCTCTCAACAACTATGCAAAGAAGCCAGTTTTTAAAACAGGCAAAGAACTTGAATAGACATTTCTGCAAAGAAGATGTACAAATGGCAAGAAGCACATGAAAATATGTTCAATATCATTAGTTGTTAGGATGACTATAATTTTTTTTAATGGAATAACAAGCATCTGACAAGGGCTGAAGAAATTGGAGCTTGCATACATTCCTAGTGTGAATGCAAAAATGATGCTGCCGCTGTGGAAAACAGTTTGATGTCTCCTCAGAAAGCTAACCGTAAAACCATGTGACGCAGCTATTTCACAATGTACACCCAAAGGGATTTAATGCAGGGACTCAAACAGATATTTGTATGTCAGTGGTCATTGCAGCCAATGATTTAGTTATTCACCATAGCCAAAAGATGGAAACAACTTAAGTGTCCATCAGTGGATGAATTAATAAAGTGCGTATACGTGTTACAATATAGATGAACCTTGAAAACCATGTGTTAAGTGAAATGAACCAGACACAAAAAGTTGAATGTTGTATGATTCCACATATATGATCTGAGTAAAACAGGTACATTCAGAGGCAGAAAGTAAATTAGAGGTTTCCAGGGACATGGGGGGAATGGGGAGTTATTACTGAGGGTACAGAGTTTCTGTTTGGAGGAATGACAAAGTTTTGGAATTAGGTAGTAGTGGCAGTTTCACAATATTGTGAATGTAATTAATGGCACTGAATCATATACTTAAAAAGCATTAAAATGGCAAATTTTGTTTATTTTACCATGCTTTTAAAAATTACATAATATACCAAAAAACATTGAATTATACACTTCAGATGGGTAAATTTTATGGTATATGAATTATAGCTCAGTAAAACTGTTTAAAAACACCAAAGGCCCAAAAAAGACATTGTCAGACAAAAAGCTGAAAGAATTTATCACCAGCAGACTCCCATTACAAGAAATGTTAAAGAATGTCCTTTGGGGAGAAAGGAAATGAAACCACATGGAAATCTGAATCTACACAAAGGAGTGAACAGCACTGGCAATGGTAACTACATAGGTAAATATATAATATTTTTCCTTAATATGCAAATTATCTTTAAAAGGTTGATTGTATTAGTTTTTTATTGCTGTATAACATATTACCACAAACTTAGCAGCTTTAAGTAGCACTCCCTTATTAGCTCACAATTCTGCAGGTCAGAAGTCTCAGACAGCATGACTGGGTTCTCTGCTTAGAGTGTCCAAAGGCTGAAATCAAGATATTGGCAGGAATGAATTTTCATCTGGAGGCTCCAGGAAAAAATTCACTTTCAAGCTCACTCTTCCTGTTGGCAGAATTCAGTTCCTTTTGGCTATGGGACTGCTTCCTGGCTGGCTGTCAGTGGTGCCGCTCTTTGCTGCTGGAGACGGTCCACATTCTTTGCTGCACTTTCCATCTTCAAGCCATTAATGGCACATCACATTTTTCTGGTCCTTCACATCTCTGACTTCCCTTCTATGACCAAAAAAACACTTGTTTTCTTAGCTGTGAAGCGAGAATGTTAGATCAGGTTGAGTTTTTTATTTTTCCTAAGAAAAGAGAATTTGTATTGGTAGGTAGAACAAATCAAATATAGCATGGAACCGCAGAGATTAAAAAGTAAAAATGCAATCTATGTAGCATTTTTCTTCATATATTTTTTTTTTTAGTTGGAGTCTCACTCTGTTGCCCAGGCTGTAGTGCAGTGGCACAGTCATGGCTACCACAGCCTCAACCTGCTGAACTCAATCAATCCTTCCACCTCAGCCTTCCAAGTCCCTGGAACTATAGGCATGTGGTACCATGCCTGGCTATTTTTTTGGTTAGTGTAGAGATGAGTTCTCATCAATTGCACAGGCTGGTCTGGAACGCCTGGGCTCAGGCAATCCTCTTGTCTCCAGCTCCCAAAGTGCTGGGATTACAGGTGTGAGCTACCATGCTTGGCCTTCATAATTTTGGGGAGTTTTAGGCATTGTAGATCTACTTATGGAGTGTCTTTGATGTTCCTCTATTTAATGGGTGATTGTGTCATACTCAACTGGTGTGAGGAAGTATAGGCTGACAATTTAGAGAGCCTCCCAGTCATAGCAAACTTTCCTCATGTTTCTTTCTCTTCTCCAGCTTTGCCTCCTCAGCACTCTCCTGTTACTCAAGGAAGTATTGTCAAGAGCAAAGAGGACATGGAAACTAAGTCGCTAACTGTCTGGTCCCAGGTAAGCTGGGCTGCTTTCTTTGTTTTCCAACTGGGAGTTTCTTTCTTTCTTTTTTTTTTTTTTTTTTGAGTTGGAGTCTCACTGTCACCCACACTGGAGTGTAGTGGGATGCTCACAGCCCTTCAGCCTCGTCCTGCTGGGCTCAGACAATCCTTTTGCCTCATCCTTCCAAGTAGCTGGAACTATAGGTACATGCTCCTACACCTGGCTGCTTTTTGATTTACTGTAGAGATGAGGTCTCATCAAGTTTCCAACGCTGGTCTTGGACACCTGGACTTAAGTAGTCATCTTGGCTTTGCCTCCCAAGGTGCTGGGATCACAGGCATGAGCCACTACACCCGGCTGGTAACGGTAATATGGGTGGTAGTCAAGTGAAGTGATGTCAGCTTTCCTCCCCCAAAGATGATGAGAGAACTAGGAATATAGATGCCCCTCTAGGGGTTTCTTTGGGCCCCAACTGTCCTGGGTGTGGTGCTGGCTGTGTTAACATCTCCACGGCAAGCCCCTGTTTGGAGAAGCTCAGGAACAAGTGACATAATTATCACAGGGTAACTGCAACCGGGGTGCAGAGAGCTCTGAAGAGGACAGAACCTCTGGGGTCATCCATGGTGAGCTCTTACACCCATTCAGCTTCTTTGTCTGGTGAGTTCTTCATACAGGGCTGGGCAGGTGATCTAGGGAAGCAGGATGAGCCTGGAAGTGAGGTTCCCTCTCCTCATTCTTCCCTGACCTGTCTGGAGGGCTCAGCCTCACATTAGAATGCTCTGGGCAGGTGTTTGGTGTGTGCATTTAACACAATATTTAAATAGGTTAGAGGTTTAGAAGAAAACTTGCTGAAATGACATTTATGCCAAGACATGAAGAATGACTTGTGATTGTCCAAATACATATGCGAGAACTGGGGTTGTGAAGGCCCAGATTTTTGAGAGATGGCCTGTTTGAAAAAATAAGAGCAGTTCAGTGCAGCCCAAACATAGAGCTGGGGGCAGAGTATGGGCTGTGTGGGCCTTCTAGGACTGTTTGTTACACTAAACATAGATGGTGTGGTTACACGGGGCAAATGAGACTCCCCACAGAAGAGTGCACAATGATAACAGGGCCAAACAGAGCCAAAACAAATACCAAAAATTAATTGATGAGATTGTTAGAGCTGATGAACTTGCAAAAGAGGCTGAACCATAGTCTTCTGTGAGTTAAGATTGTAAACCAAGTGTGTGCGTTGTCAGAGAAGACATTTTTCAGGAATGAGATTATGACTAAGCTGTAACATGCTGCTGAGAAACTAGACTATATCAACTGAAAAAGAATTGGTAAGAAGAAAAAAAAATCACTGTGGGCTTTGATCTTTCCCTCTTTTATTATGGAAATTTTCAAATATACACAAAAGCAGAAAATATTTTAGGTGGGAGATAATTGTTATATCTAATATGGACTGAGGACTAATCAAGAACAAGATCAGCAACTGTTGCTGATCAGGAAATTTGGAAACAGAAAATCTGTAAACAGTATACTTTTTTTTATAGCTGTATTCATATGAGGTTAAAAGTACTTTAAAAACAAACAAGTAGGTAACACAATTCAGAATAGTGCTTACTTCTAGCAAAGAAGGAGACGCACATAAGAAGTTTCAAAAGTATTATGACGATTTAAAGTAGCGTTAGGGGCAAACCCTTCAGGTCCCCTCCCACTGTTGGAGCTTTTCTGTCCTCAATAAATTCTGCTTTCTCACAAAAATAAAAAATAAAAATAAAGTAGCGTTAGACTATGCCTTCTTTATGTGTTTATACATCCTGACTGCAATAGTTACGCTTTTCACCCGTCTTCCTTAACACAATAGTCTATTGTTCTAGTATATATAATACTGTGAGGCAGATAGTATTTTACAGCTAAGAGCTTTATCTAGGGTTGGTCTCCCCAGCTGAGCCTCTGCCAGCCCCAGCTGCAGCCCCTGAGCCTACATGACCGCAACCCCTTTATCCCTTCATCTGGGGCGGAAAGGGGAGCCCCATAGTGTCCAGTCATAGCCTGCTCTTAGCATATTGGGAATCTGGGGGGACAGGCAAATCCAGTTTTCTGCTGTCTGAAGTTAGATCTAAGAGAAGTACTAACAGATGCCCTTGACATGAGGCATAATGGGATACATTATGGATACATATGGGATATGTACAGGGATAAGTGGGTGTCCCCTTCCCCATGTCTCCCCTCTCAGTAAACGTGCCACCCTGTATCCAGTTGCTCAGCAGAAGCCTCAGGACAGTTCCTCAGGAGGCAGAGGGTGTCCTGGGTGGACCCTGGCTTCTGGGGTAGACTGCTGGGCTCACGCTTGCATCCACCATGCTGCAGCCTGGCCCAGCTCCTGACGCCTCGAGCCAGTTTCTTTGTTAGGTGAACAGGATTGCGAAAACCCTTTCCCAGCCAAGTGGTGGAAAGCCCCCAGGGAGTCGGCAGCTCTCTCAGCACGGCCTGGGGAGCACCGAGCTTGGTTTGATGGATGTGTTAGCCTCTGGTCCCTCCCCTCACCCTCTTCAGCCAGGTGATCCACACATGCAGTCAGTGAACATTCAGAACACACCCCCACTTGGGGGAAGCCATCCCATCTCTCACTGGTCACCTCCTCACTGCTGGTCACCTGGCTGATGATTGACACACACACATTGACACACACAGGCCAGAATGATGGGAACCCTTGGTGTCCTCAGCCACAGTGAACACCGATGTCCCTCCGTGGCCACACGCTCTCCATTACCCGGCCCGCTGCCTCTTAGACCCCTTCTCTTTCCACTCCCTGCTGCTTACCACACTCCAGCCACACTGGCCATCTTCTTCCTTCAACATGGTGAGCGGATGTGTACCTCAGCGCCTCTGCACGAACTACCCCTTCACTATCCTGGTTTTTGTCTCAGACCTCTGCCTGTCTACCTTTAACATGGCTCTCAGGTTGGAGCTCCTAGGCCACCTGTTGAGAGAGGGCTTCCCTGCCAGCTCTGCCCCCAACTCACCTTGCTGCCCAGGACATGCTTCCCACGGACCTGTCCTTAGTGCCCAGCCCACAGAAGCTCCTAGGAATTCTGTGCAATGAGTCTTGCCTCTCCTGTGGAGGCGGCTGAGCCCAGGCCATGTCCCTGTCTTCCAGATATGGATGATTGAGCCCAGCAGCCTGGAGTTCACCCCATGTCAGGTGGAGGCGCGAGTGGGCCAGCCCCTGCAGCTGCATTTGAGGATCAGTGGTCTCATACCTGGCGGGGCCAGGGAGATGGTCACCCTGAGTGACTGTTCCCACTTTGACTTGATGGTGGAGGTGGAGAACCAGGGTGTGTTCCAGCCACTCCCAGGTAAAGCAGCACTGCTGAGTAGGGCCAGACAGGCAGATCAGCCAGATTCCCAACTTGAGGACTTGAGGCAGCAGAGGGGCCACGCCATCAGCAGTGGCATTTGTCTCCTTGTCCACCGTCAGCTCCGGTCTGGTCTGGCTCTCATCCACTTTGGCAGATGACAGGCCTCTCTCAGCCTGTTTCCATATTTCTGAGCTGAGTGTCATCTAAATAGAATTGCACGTCAAAGGGCCTGTTTCAGTGCCTGGAATGTAGTCGGTATTCAGAATGCACTGTTGATTGGGGTTTTGACTGGTTCCAGAGGCGAAGCAGCCATGACATGCAAGGCCAACACTCCTGAGCACCTCTTTTCTTCAGCATCTCCTGTGGGGTTTTGGTGGTGACATCCGTGGTAACCCTGGCAGTGGCAATGAGTTTATCGAGTGACAACCCTGCCAGGTGCAGAGTAAGCATTTTGCACACCTGACCTCACTGAGACCTTGAAACACTGTAGAAGGAACTGATGTTGGGCTCCATGTCAAGATGAAGCAGCTTAGGCTGTGCCACTGCCCAAGGTCACACAGCCTGGACTGAAGATCTGGGTGTGCTGGCTGTGCCTGACAATGACTTGGAGTTTAATCATCTGTGAGACAGGGCCAGGAGAGTTGGCCCAGACTGGCAGAGTTTCCTCTCTGATATGCAAAGAGGGTAGCCGAAGGACTGGTGAGCTGTTGAATAAGTCACTATTGAGTAAGAGTCCAACGGGGCATTGGAATGAACAAGGACAGATAGCATTTGGTGGGCGGGGATGCCAGCGACAGATCTGGAAGTGGGCCGGTCTGTGGTGCTTGTGCACAAGGTGGACCTAGAATGCCAGGACCTGAGAATCTGGAGGGCTTTGGAGGACTTGTGCCACTGAAGGTCTTTGACCAGAGAGTGGTGTGGCACTGGCAGCATTTAGGAAACTTGATTGGCAGAAGAGTAGGACCGCCTGTGGTGTCAAGTGGTATTACAAGCTGCTGTAGCTGCGATTGTGTGCAGAGCTGTTACAGGTTGAAGTTGCAGAGGAGAGGGGCAGTGTCTCTGAAAAATCCATGTGCAAACCACGTCCAGGAGAAACCAAGCTTATGAAAGAAATCTACAGTTTCTCCACAAGGTCACCCTTTAGGATGGAGAATTGCATTGCACAGGGGAGAGGCCCGCCGGAAGCAGAAATAAGCTGCCCCCTGTACGACCCCCTACATCCATCCTGGAGGGGGGTCTGAGGAGCACAGCCAATGTTGGAGTCAGGTCCCAGGGAGTAGCAGGATTTGAGTTCAACAGTGTTGGTCTGAGCCACTTCATCTAGTTATTATGATCTGTGCGATGTCAGGTGTGCTGCCAACCTCTCTGAGCCTTGGGTTCTGGGTTCTCTATCTATGAAAAGGGATGACAGCTCCTTATTTTGATGGTTATACATCCCTCCCTACTGTGCAGGGACATTTCTCAAGGAGTTTGAGTTCTGGACAAAGCAGTCAAGATAGAAATCCTATAGTGTCAAAATTTCCCTGAGAAAGTGCCTTACATCTCTTCTGGTGTGGAGCATATGTGGCAGTATGTTGGGGTGTGTAGGGCCCAGGTTCCGTGAGAAAGATGTCAGGGCAGGGAGACGCTCACCTCATGGAAGCCTGTGGGGTCTGAGGGCAGGCC